AGGGGCCCCCTGGCTGACTTTTTGTTTTTATTTTGTTTTTTTTTTTTTTTTTTTACATGTTTTTTTTTTTTTTTGTCCTTAATTCCTGCGGGGAAAACTGCGGCGCAAAGCCGGTGATATCTCCCCAGGTGTACCGCATATCTGTATCCGCGCCGCCCGTACAACCGCTTAATTAATTGCGCTTATCCGCTTGAAATTAAAAACGTATGAAAAGTCATAGTTCAATTTATGGTCCTCGTCTGAGGGGAGTCTTCGCGTCATGGCGGACAAGCCGCCATCTTTGTTAACACTGCTTGAGTCTCCACCGCCCCCTGTCATGGCGGACGAACCGCCAAACTATTTTAGTTTTGTTCAATTTTTGCCTTATAAAAAAAATACGACAAAAACTGCCAAAAAACCCCCAAAATTAGTTTGAAAATCCTAAAGATTTGCCGCTTGTGCTGCGCCAACATGGACGAGCTCCCCCTCCTCCGATGTAGGTGGTTCCGGCCTGTGGAGAGGACTCGGGGACGGTGTCTGGGGGGAAGGATATTGGGTAGTAGTGCGCTAAGGGTCATTCACTTCAATATACAACGTACTCTAGTTTTGAATAGAGTAAGGGGAGGCGGGAGGGGCAGTAAAAACCCAACTGGGGGTTCCTTTTCCTCATTGTACCCCAAATGTAAAGGACCTTTTCATTTTGGGTACAATAGGCAAGTACTAGAACCCTGTGTCTGAGGAAGGAATAGCGTCCCTGGCCGCTAAGCATAAAACTTATGATTTGTGGCAATGATGGAGTCTGACCACTAGATGGCGCCATCCTACTGGACCCCTTTTTTGTTTCTGCACCAAGCGTCCTACTCCTGTAGGTGGCACTATAACCCATTGGTTGTGACCTGATCCTCCATCAAAAGCCGCGTCTCTCCATGAACGAGAGAAGAGGTTCGGGCTGTACATACGCTTTACATTTCCACAGATGTATACAATAAGAAGCCTGGCAGACGATGGAGAATCTCCTTTTGTTAAAACACTCCTGTCGGCCATTTTGAAAGGATAACGCCAAAGGAAAGAGCTCCGAGTGACTCATTGGGCTGCTTGTAGACCGGTCCTCTTTAACCTTGTATAGTAGACCTGATATCAAAGAATTGAGCAATATATTATTAATGCTTTATTTGTATGTTTCACATTTCAATCCCTCGACGACTCTTCATCTTTTGCACGTTTGTGGTTTTTGTTTTTTTATCTGTTGTTATGAATTCTAGATTGAAGATTTGCTCGAGTTCCTGTCCCGTATAAAAGCTTTCCTATTATTATATTCCATTTCTGGTTTTTAATTCTAGTTTTGGCTTTTCTGTTAATGTCTTCCTGTATAAATAAAGCTTTTTTTTTTTTTTTTAATATATATGTTATTGCCGAGTTGTTGTGTGTTTTTGGGGGTATTGGGTCTCAGTGGGAAGGTGGATACATTTTATGGAGGGCCGATTTTAAAACGCATGGCATCGGTGTAACCTGATATGAAATACCTCCCATTGAACCCAAATCGGTGCTTTAAAAATCCTTTCATCCGTTTCACAATTGAACTTGCAGTTCCCCTTGAAAAAATAAATTGCCTAGTGGCTCATTTATAAAGTGTTCGCACAGCGTATAGCTGGGTGACCAACGTTCATACACCATCACTGCCACTAGATGGCGCCACAGAGCTTAGGAAATTGCAATGCTCTTTGGTTCCATCTACGGGCAAGTAATGCCCTGTGATTGGAGCCTGCCCTGCCAGGGGCAAGTAATGCCCTGTGATTGGAGCCTGCCCTGCCAGGGGCAAGGAAGGCCCTGTGATTGGAGCCCGCCCTGCCAGGGGCAAGTAATGCCCTGTGATTGGAGCCCGCCCAGCTAGAGGCAAGTAATGCTCTGTGATTGGAGCCCGCCCAGCTAGAGGCAAGTAATGCTCTGTGATTGGAGCCCGCCCAGCTAGAGGCAAGTAATGCTCTGTGATTGGAGCCCGCCCAGCCAGGGGCAAGTAATGCTCTGTGATTGGAGCCCGCCCAGCCAGGGGCAAGTAATGCTCTGTGATTGGAGCCCGCCCAGCCAGGGGCAAGTAATGCTCTGTGATTGGAGCCCGCCCAGCCAGGGGCAAGTAATGCTCTGTGATTGGAGCCCGCCCAGCCAGGGGCAAGTAATGCTCTGTGATTGGAGCCCGCCCAGCCAGGGGCAAGTAATGCTCTGTGATTGGAGCCCGCCCAGCCAGGGGCAAGTAATGCTCTGTGATTGGAGCCCGCCCAGCCAGGGGCAAGTAATGCTCTGTGATTGGAGCCCGCCCAGCCAGGGGCAAGTAATGCTCTGTGATTGGAGCCCGCCCAGCCAGGGGCAAGTAATGCTCTGTGATTGGAGCCCGCCCAGCCAGGGGCAAGTAATGCTCTGTGATTGGAGCCCGCCCAGCCAGGGGCAAGTAATGCTCTGTGATTGGAGCCCGCCCAGCCAGGGGCAAGTAATGCTCTGTGATTGGAGCCCGCCCAGCCAGGGGCAAGTAATGCTCTGTGATTGGAGCCCGCCCAGCCAGGGGCAAGTAATGCTCTGTGATTGGAGCCCGCCCAGCCAGGGGCAAGTAATGCTCTGTGATTGGAGCCCGCCCAGCCAGGGGCAAGTAATGCTCTGTGATTGGAGCCCGCCCAGCCAGGGGCAAGTAATGCTCTGTGATTGGAGCCCGCCCAGCCAGGGGCAAGTAATGCTCTGTGATTGGAGCCCGCCCAGCCAGGGGCAAGTAATGCTCTGTGATTGGAGCCCGCCCAGCCAGGGGCAAGTAATGCTCTGTGATTGGAGCCCGCCCAGCCAGGGGCAAGTAATGCTCTGTGATTGGAGCCCGCCCAGCCAGGGGCAAGTAATGCTCTGTGATTGGAGCCCGCCCAGCCAGGGGCAAGTAATGCTCTGTGATTGGAGCCCGCCCAGCCAGGGGCAAGTAATGCTCTGTGATTGGAGCCCGCCCAGCCAGGGGCAAGTAATGCTCTGTGATTGGAGCCCGCCCAGCCAGGGGCAAGTAATGCTCTGTGATTGGAGCCCGCCCAGCCAGGGGCAAGTAATGCTCTGTGATTGGAGCCCGCCCAGCCAGGGGCAAGTAATGCTCTGTGATTGGAGCCCGCCCAGCCAGGGGCAAGTAATGCTCTGTGATTGGAGCCCGCCCAGCCAGGGGCAAGTAATGCTCTGTGATTGGAGCCCGCCCAGCCAGGGGCAAGTAATGCTCTGTGATTGGAGCCCGCCCAGCCAGGGGCAAGTAATGCTCTGTGATTGGAGCCCGCCCAGCCAGGGGCAAGTAATGCTCTGTGATTGGAGCCCGCCCAGCCAGGGGCAAGTAATGCTCTGTGATTGGAGCCCGCCCAGCCAGGGGCAAGTAATGCTCTGTGATTGGAGCCCGCCCAGCCAGGGGCAAGTAATGCTCTGTGATTGGAGCCCGCCCAGCCAGGGGCAAGTAATGCTCTGTGATTGGAGCCCGCCCAGCCAGGGGCAAGTAATGCTCTGTGATTGGAGCCCGCCCAGATGTTATTGCCGAGTTGTTGTGTGTTTTTGGGGGTATTGGGTCTCAGTGGGAAGGTGGATACATTTTATGGAGGGCCGATTTTAAAACGCATGGCATCGGTGTAACCTGATATGAAATACCTCCCATTGAACCCAAATCGGTGCTTTAAAAATCCTTTCATCCGTTTCACAATTGAACTTGCAGTTCCCCTTGAAAAAATAAATTGCCTAGCGGCTCATTTATAAAGTGTTCGCACAGCGTATAGCTGGGTGACCAACGTTCATACACCATCACTGCCACTAGATGGCGCCACAGAGCTTAGGAAATTGCAATGCTCTTTGGTTCCATCTACGGGCAAGTAATGCCCTGTGATTGGAGCCTGCCCTGCCAGGGGCAAGTAATGCCCTGTGATTGGAGCCTGCCCTGCCAGGGGCAAGGAAGGCCCTGTGATTGGAGCCCGCCCTGCCAGGGGCAAGTAATGCCCTGTGATTGGAGCCCGCCCAGCTAGAGGCAAGTAATGCTCTGTGATTGGAGCCCGCCCAGCTAGAGGCAAGTAATGCTCTGTGATTGGAGCCCGCCCAGCTAGAGGCAAGTAATGCTCTGTGATTGGAGCCCGCCCAGCCAGGGGCAAGTAATGCTCTGTGATTGGAGCCCGCCCAGCCAGGGGCAAGTAATGCTCTGTGATTGGAGCCCGCCCAGCCAGGGGCAAGTAATGCTCTGTGATTGGAGCCCGCCCAGCCAGGGGCAAGTAATGCTCTGTGATTGGAGCCCGCCCAGCCAGGGGCAAGTAATGCTCTGTGATTGGAGCCCGCCCAGCCAGGGGCAAGTAATGCTCTGTGATTGGAGCCCGCCCAGCCAGGGGCAAGTAATGCTCTGTGATTGGAGCCCGCCCAGCCAGGGGCAAGTAATGCTCTGTGATTGGAGCCCGCCCAGCCAGGGGCAAGTAATGCTCTGTGATTGGAGCCCGCCCAGCCAGGGGCAAGTAATGCTCTGTGATTGGAGCCCGCCCAGCCAGGGGCAAGTAATGCTCTGTGATTGGAGCCCGCCCAGCCAGGGGCAAGTAATGCTCTGTGATTGGAGCCCGCCCAGCCAGGGGCAAGTAATGCTCTGTGATTGGAGCCTGCCCGGCCACATGCAGGGTGAACGCTTTATAAATCGCCCTTCAGATGTTCCAAAATGTACCTGTAAAGAGAAAAGTTAGTTACACATACCACACCCCCGGTTTCCACATCTCGTTGGGCGGCAGACATCACCGTCCTTCTGGTGAATGCAGAGCAGGGAAAATCCTGCG